GACAACAGCTCGGTGCATTAAAAAATTTAAAACAGCCAGTGCAGGCTTGGGATGCTCTTTTAAATTCCATACTTTCAAGAAAGCTCGATCAGTTTACGAATAGGGCTTATCAAATAGATAGGGATCAATTGCAGATGCCCACATTGGATAATTTTCTTATTTATTTGGAAAATAGAGCTGCTGCTCTCGAAGCTGTTGCTCTACCTGAAAATAAAGTAGCTCACCATAATAAAAATTCAAATTACAGCCATGTAAGTACGAGTTCAAACTATAATAATAACAATAATAAGTGTCCATTTTGCCAAAATACAGGTCACAAACTTTACAGTTGTGTATTTTTTAAATCAAAACCAGTTGGTGATAGAGTTTCCTTTATTGTCAAAAGTAAAAGATGCAAAATGTGTCTAAATAGCCATACTGGAACTTGTAAATATTCTTTCAAATGTAATTATTGCCATAAAAATCATAACTCTTTGTTACACTTAGATAGATCTAGAAAAGAAGAAAACAAAAATAATATTAACACAGATATGGACCAAGTCCAGTCCTGTAGCAGTGCTGCAACAGCACATTCAAAACATTGCTACTCGGATTGAAATTTTGATTCGGTTTTACTGCCTACAATAAAGGTAAAGGTTTTTACTAGTAATGGAGAGTGTTTGATTGTTCGTGGGTTAATTGATAGCGGATCACAAGTGCCTTTTATAGTCACAGATTTAGCTAATAAACTAGGTTATAAAACGTTTTCAAACAATTTAAATATTATAGGTGTCTCGAATAATTCAACGAACGTAAAAAAGTCAATTAACGTAACACTTAGTTCTTGTGTTCAAAACTATAAAATAAATGTCTCCTGCGCTATAGTAGATGAGATAACAGGCATTTTGCCACAATTTGAATTTAGTAAAAATTCTATTAACATTCCAAAAAACATAAAACTTTCTGATTTAGAATTCAATAAACCAAATGCGATACAAATTCTTTTGGGAGCGAATATATTTTTTGATATTTTGTTACCTGAAAAAATATTTTTGAGGAAAAATGGATTAATTTTGCAAAATACTTACCTGGGTTACGTTGTAAGTGGTTCCATACCTAGCAATTCGAAAAATATCCAGTCCAGTTTAGCTGTAGCTTCATTTCATTGTATTGTTGATAACGAACCTAAAATGGAAGAATTAATTTCAAAATTTTGGGAAACAGAAAAAGTACCTTTAGTATATAAAGAGTATTCTAGTGAGCAAGAAGCTTGCGAAAACATTTTTAAAAATACTGTGTCTAAAATAAATAATAAATTTGAAGTGTACTTACCTTTGAAAAGAAATATTGAGGATTTAAATCTAGGAGATTCTTTCTCGGTAACTTTGAAACGATTCGAAAACCTCGAAAAACGATTCAAAAATAATCATATTACAAACCTCATAATCATAAGAGAGCACTTAAGACTTCTACACGCAGGACAAAGACAGGTCTTGAGCAGTCTTAATGAATATTTTTGGATAATAAATGGTGTCAGAGAAGTCAAGAAAAATATACACAAATGCGTGATTTGTTTTAAAAGTAAAGCTCGTTGTTCGCAACAGCTTATGGGCTCGCTACCTCGCGATAGAGTTAACCCTGCAAGAGTATTTCAAAATGTTGGTATTGACTTTTGCGGACCCTTTTATACTAAACAGTCAAGAATTCGAAAACCTATAATAACTAAATCTTATATTGCGCTTTTTATATGCTTTTCAGTTAAGGCAATACACATGGAAGTCTTGTCGGACTTGACTACCGATAACTTCCTAGAGGCCTTCAAAAGATTTATATTTAGAAGAGGGAAACCCTCACAGGTTTTTTGCGACAATGGCGGAACGTTTAAAGGCGCAAAGAACAAATTAGATGAACTTAACCGGGTTTTCGAATCTGAAAGCAGAAATAAAATAATACATTTTGTTGCAAATGAAAGAATCGTTTTTAGGTTTATTCCTAGCTACTCGCCAGTATTTGGGGGTCTCTGGGAAGCCGGGGTCAAGAGTGCCAAGCACCACCTTAAGAGAACAATGGGAGAGCGCAGATTGACCTACGAGCAATTAAACACTCTAGTAGTCCAAGTGGAAGGAATTTTATATTCTAGGCCACTAACTCAATTAACAAACGATCCTTTCGATTTAGAATACTTGACGCCAGGTCATTTTTTAACCGGTTCAGCTATAACAAGCTTTCCTGAAAAAGATTTGACTGAAATTCCGGAAAATAGGTTGTCATTTTGGAATATGGCTACTCAGGTGAAGCAACACTTCTGGAAGCGGTGGCACAAAGATTATTTAGCGCAGCTTCAGAGTAGGCCTAAGTGGCAACACTCGGTCCCTAACCTAAGGGAAGGGCTTTTAGTTTTGCTGAAGGAGGATAATGTACCCTCTCTTCAATGGCCGATTGCCAGAATCACAAGAACAATACCTGGGAAAGATGGCAAAGTTCGAGTCGTTGAAGTTCGAACACGAACAGGTAACTATTTAAGGTCGTTAACAAAAATTACCGTCTTACCCATCGAGTGACTTGTGACTCAATGTCAATTTTATACATATTTATACATATTTATATAGTTAGATACTTAAGGTTTTTACTATTGTCCATAAAATTGTACATTTTTTTAGATACCTAGATCTTAAGTTGCCTCAGATAGTTTAGGTTTTTAATACTTTTTATAATATTTGTACATTTTGTAAATACAAATTTCAAGTCGCCATTACTAAATATTTTTGTAGAATAATTTCTAGCAATATCTAGAAGTATTTGACTCTATAAGTCAAAACTTTAAGCTCTATAAGCTGTCTATAATTTATGTATAACTTTCTAAGTTATATAAAATAATAACTTGATTCTATAAATCAAGCCTTTAAGCTCTATAAGCTATCAATAATTTATGTATAACTTATTAAGTTATATAAAATAATAACTTGGCTCTATAAGTCAAGCCTTTAAGCTCTATAAGCTACCCATGTCAAATTTTTAAGCTTTATAAGCTACCCATAACATTATAGGTACATAGCTATAATGTAACTTTCTTAGTTTCATAAAATATGTAATAACTTGACTCTATAGGTCAAATTTTTGAGGCTCTATAAGCCATTTAATAAGTGCTATATCGCTTAATTATTTTGTGCAACGATGCACATATATTTTACTCTCGTTTAATTTAAGTTTACAATGTTGTAGTATTTGTAATAATTTTAAGAATCTTTCTTGGCCGCGAGCATGTTGGAAACAATATTCCAACAGTAAATTTAAAATTCAAATTTTAATTTTCCCGGTATGCACCGGAAGTGTGCGCGTATGTGTCAAACAGTGTCAAAAATCACTTGTCAAAGTTTTTGGTAAAGTGGCTTCCGGCATCTACGCGAGTGAACCAACGGGAACAGTCAGTGTCGAATCGAACCTCACCGAGCGCACCAGATAATTCTGGGCAGGTCCTATATGACCATTTTTACAGACTCTTATAAGTCTAAAAACGTAAACAAAAACGAGAAAATGCAAATTGTAAATAGTGTAAATAGTCGTGTGTGTAAATAAATGTAAATATAAATAATACAGTCCACTTTCATTATTTTAAAGAAAACAACAGCATGTAATATTGACAGTTGAGTTGAAGAGGGCGCTTCTGTACTTGGAACACTTCAAATTTTGGCGCGTGAATAATCGATTGTAATGTTAACCTCAAAAGTAAAGTTTGACGTGTGGTTTCAAGTCAAGCTGACGCCGACACTTTTAAAAATATTCTCTAAGAGCCACTGAACGTTTTAGAAGATATTTTAACTTATTCACTGTCCATTGTTCATATGTAGTCATCTTCCCTTCTACTCAATTTAAACGGTTTAAAACTATTGACATTTACCGCCAAAATTTACAGCAATCCAAGTTCACTCGCGCCCTCTACAAGATATTGGGGAACTTAACTGGATATTTGCTGCCATTGTGTATTTTATTTTGTTGTTGGTTCGTTCATTCCGAAAGAGCGCGAACTGGTCTCCCTGTCATTTCTGGACGCTTGACCATTGACATTCTGTGGCTACGTTCCGTTTCTCCTCTTAGGCATTCCTTGACAGCCGTTTTCCGTGGTGACTGTTCGGAGTGCTCCGTCCGGCTGGTGTCGAGTGGCAGAGAGCCAGGTTATGAGTCCGCCACAACCATTTTGTATACGGCGCCATATATCATAGGTACCTAGAACGAAGCTCGCCGTTGTGCGGTAATTTCATTGCAGATACAGTAGAACAGAATACTGCTAAGTAACTGGAGCTATTCCAAACAGAACTATTCCACTATTCCGATCAGATAAAGTGGTGCAGAAAGAGTAGATCAGATAGAATAGTGCAGATACAGTAGAACAGATGGAGTATTGCAGTGCAGATAAAATGAAACAGGGCTGCGCTGGAGATTTTTTTTGTTTTCTTTACATTTTTTGAAAATTTTTGTGCCTGAGTTTATTTATTTAGTGATAGACTTTATAAGAATAATGCCCACAAGATGCCTAAAAAGGGATGATGTAAAATTTTAATTTTAGGTGACTTCTGATCCAGAGAGTAAAAATTAATTTTCTTCAACCAAAGCCAAATTCACCATCGAAAAAAACTGAATTTAATTCAGTTAATAAAATCTGTTTTTTTTTTTAAAGATAATTACCCAATTCAAAAATTTAGTAACTATGTTGGCAACACAAGCCTTTTCTACATAAAAATTTTGAAAGCATTGACAATTTTACATTGTATTGCCAACATAATGTCATTTTGACTTTTATCTTTAAAAAAAAACGCACTTTAGATACCTACGTTAACACAACATTTAATAGGTATTTAATAATTCAGAGGAGGAACGAAGTTCGCCGGGTCAGATAGTTAATAATAAATCTACAAAAAATTAAGTTCAGCCCATTACCTAGTTACATTCGATACGCGCGCCCATGTCTATGTCCCGAGCCGTGAGTGGGGACATAAACGATTATAAAAAACGCACACTCTAATATCGAATCCAAGTCGAGTTTAGTCAAAGTTTAGTTGTCTTATCACTTCGATATTCCTTTCGCCTTGACTTCGTTCAGTTTTTTCGTATTGACGCGGTTACAAATAGTACTTAACTATATTTCTTGTACAAAATTAATAAACCTACATTTTGGAAAAGTAGAGATTTTTTTTTTCGAAATGTGTCGCGGAACCGCAAGAGTGCCAAATAGTGAAAACGAAATTGGATTTCCTTTGCAAGTGAAATATGTGCCGGCAATCGAAGGTGCGTTTTCTACAAAAGGAAATATGGAAGAAAATCAAAATTTAGAGCAGCTAACTCAAACTATTGATGTTCTCGCTATGATGACAAGTTCGACCAAAGATGTACTATTTGGCTTAAGCGATTATTTTGGAAGTTTAAGTGAAACTACGATATATAAGTTAGTGGTATTTTTAAAAGTATAAAACACTAGGTAACATGTACCTACCTACTTACCTATTACCTACATGATTTGCCGAAAACATAAATCGGAAAAATAAAATAATAATATTATGAAATAAGGGCAATTGGCTTGTCCCTTTTAGTTGATCCCCAACCCAATTCGCGAATTTCTTCAATAAAAGAGATTTGAATATACTTATCTTAATAAGGTAGGTACCTGCCAGCCTAGTTTTAAACTGTTTTATTCTGAAAATGGGTACCTTATCATTTTCTGTAAGAATGCGCGAGTTTTGATTATCTATTCATTAACTTATCGGTATCATTGGTATCAATAATTGCACTCTGTGGAATGTGCATAGGTAGGTACCTATATCAATAAAAATTCCAGGCAATGCTAAAATTCTTCATTTTAATTTCAATATTACTTACCATGAAAGCCTGACAGACGTCACGTAGGTAGGTTCCGCCCGAAAAATGTAAATGAGATCAGATATCGAAAATTTTGTAGCACCACCAAACTTGTCCAATAAACCAAACTTCTTTGAAAAATTTTGTAGCAGTTTCAAAGTTGGTCGAATTCTTGCTTGGACAGATACGAGTGAAATACCAAAAAAGCACATGTTTATCTCGGGGTTGAAGGGGGGAAATTCAACCCCAAAGTTGTCCAAAAAACCAAACTTCTTTGAAAAATTTTGTAGCAGTTTCAAAGTTGGTCGAAATCTTGCTTGGACAGATACGAGTGAAATAACAAAAAAGCACATGTTTATTTCGGGGTTGAAGAGGGGAAATTCAACCCCAAAGTTGTCCAAAAAACCAAACTTCTTTGAAAAAATTTGTAGCAGTTTCAAAGTTGATCGAATTCTTGCTTGGACAGATACGAGTGAAATACCAAAAAAGCACATGTTTATCTCGGGGTTAGAGGGGGGAAATTCAACCCCAAAGTTGTCCAAAAAACCAAACTTCTTTGAAAAATTTTGTAGCATTTTCAAAGTTGGTCGGATTATTGCTTGGACAGATACGAGCGAAATACCAAAAAAGCACATGTTTATCTCGGGGTTGAAGGGGGGAAATTCAACCCCAAAGTTGTTAGTACGGGATACGAGGCCTATTTCATCAAATCATTTTACACCGTCTTGCATTGTTATCATCAGTTAGATAACATGATGCTGAAACGCACCTGTACGGGGAAATAGATGGGAGTGGGGGATTTCGCTGAAAAAAAATTTCCAGAAAATGTCGTCATAAACAGGGAAAATATATAATTATACACCGTCTTGCATTTATTTATTGAGTTAATTTGTACACAAACAAAATTGGATCAACACATGCAAGACGTTTTCATGGAGGTTTTGGGGTTGTTATATTGGATAGAAATTGTCAATTTTTCAGAGGGGTGAAATATCATTTCACACCACTTCATTATTGATTTAGATTAAAGCTTGAATGTAGAATAGCCACTGGATACTGATGCAAGACGTCCTGTGGAGGGATAACGGACTGCAAGACGGAGGTCAATGTGTTGTCTTATGAAGGAGTGAGAAATCATTTTACACCGTCTTGCACTGATACTAATGGGAAAAACAGAACACATTGATAACATTTTAAAAAATACAAGACGTTCTAAATGGAAAGAAAGGACTGCAAGACGGTGATGAAGTTGACTAATTTTGACGGGGGTAAATCCATCAGGTACAAATGTGAATACTACTCCAAATTACAAATTACGCACAATAATTTTAGATATTTTTGCTTTTACCACGTAGAATAATTCTATTTTGCAAAATTCTCTTAATATGTATATTTGAATGACTCTACGGACATCAAAAAAAAAAGGTTGAAAATTGTTCTTTTTCTGACAGCTTATAATCATTTTATTTTTTTTTTGAGGTGGATATGTCATAACACCTAACGGATTGTAAGTAGGTATTAGGTAAATTTGAGAAATTTGATTTTAAAGCAGCAAAAAAATGATCTGCCTGGAATTGTAAACAGAAATTATAATTCCTGTATTCAGCAGACTCCCCTGTTGAGCTGCTATGTCAACTGTCCTTTTCCATCTGTATGATTTAGAAAAGAATGAACAGTTAACGGTTCAGTAAATAACTCAAAAGTTCAGTAAAAAAAGAAAACGGATTTATTAACTTTTTTCCCCGAAAAAACGTCTTGGACTGATGTATTACCATTTTTTAACATATATTCTTCCGGCGGACATAAGCATGAAGTGGTGTAAAATAAATTTTCACTCCCTCATGAGACAACGCATTGACATCCGTCTTGCAGCCCGTTATCCCTCCACAGGACGTCTTGTATCAGTATCCAGTAGCTATTCTACATTCAAGCTTTAATCTAAATCAACAATGGAGTGGTGTAAAATGATTTTCCACCCCTCTCACAAATTGACAATTTCCATCTTCTATTGCAACCCTAAAACCCCCATAAAAACGTCTTGCATGTGGTAATTCAATTTTGTTTGTGTACAAACTGACTCAATAAAGAAATGCAAGACGGTGTATAATTATATATTTTCCTAATTTATGACGACATTTTCTGAAACATTTTTTTCAGCGAAATCCCCCACTCCCATCTATTTCCCTGCACAAGTGCGTTTCAGTACCATTTTATCTAACTGATGATAACAATGCAAGACGGTGTAAAATGATTTGATGAAATAGGCCTCGTATCCCGTACTATGTCCAAAAAACTAAACTTCTTTGAAAAATTTTGTAGCAGTTTCAAACTTGGTCGGATTATTGCTTGGACAGATATGAGTGAAATATCAAAAAAGCACATGTTTATTTCGAGGTTGAAGGGGGGAAATCCAACCCCAAAGTTGTCCAAAAAACCAAACTTCTTTGAAAAATTTTGTAGCAGTCTCAAAGTTGGTCGAATTATTGCTTGGACAGATACGAGTGAAATACCAAAAAAGCACATGTTTATTTCGGGGTTGAAGGGGGGAAATTCAACCCCAATGTTGTCCAAAAAACCAAACTTCTTTGAAAAATTTTGTAGCAGTTTCAAAGTTGGTCGAATTATTGCTTGGACAGATACGAGCGAAATACCAAAAAAGCACATGTTTATCTCGGGGTTGAAGGGGGGAAATTCAACCCCAAAGTTGTCCAAAAAAACAAACTTCTTTGAAAATTTTTTTAGCAGTTTCAAAGTTGGTTGAATTCTTGCTTGGACAGATACGAGTGAAGTACCAAAAAAGCACATGTTTATCTCGGGGTTGAAGGGAGGAAATTCAACCCCAAAGTTGCCCAAAAAAACAAACTTCTTTGAAAAATTTTGTAGCAGTTTCAAAGTTGGTCGAATTCTTGCTCAGACAGATACGAGTGAAATACCAAAAAAGGACATGTTTATCTCGGGGTTGAAGGTGGGAAATTCAACCCAAAAGTTGTCCAAAAAACCAAACTTCTTTGAAAAATTTTGTAGCATTTTCAAAGTTGGTCGGATTATTGCTTGGACAGATACGAGCGAAATACCAAAAAAGCACATGTTTATCTCGGGGTTGAAGGGGGGAAATTCAACCCCAAAGTTGTTAGTACGGGATACGAGGCCTATTTCATCAAATCATTTTACACCGTCTTGCATTGTTATCATCAGTTAGATAACATGATGCTGAAACGCACCTGTACGGGGAAATAGATGGGAGTGGGGGATTTCGCTGAAAAAAAATTTCCAGAAAATGTCGTCATAAACAGGGAAAATATATAATTATACACCGTCTTGCATTTATTTATTGAGTTAATTTGTACACAAACAAAATTGGATCAACACATGCAAGACGTTTTCATGGAGGTTTTGGGGTTGTTATATTGGATAGAAATTGTCAATTTTTCAGAGGGGTGAAATATCATTTCACACCACTTCATTATTGATTTAGATTAAAGCTTGAATGTAGAATAGCCACTGGATACTGATGCAAGACGTCCTGTGGAGGGATAACGGACTGCAAGACGGAGGTCAATGTGTTGTCTTATGAAGGAGTGAGAAATCATTTTACACCGTCTTGCACTGATACTAATGGGAAAAACAGAACACATTGATAACATTTTAAAAAATACAAGACGTTCTAAATGGAAAGAAAGGACTGCAAGACGGTGATGAAGTTGACTAATTTTGACGGGGGTAAATCCATCAGGTACAAATGTGAATACTACTCCAAATTACAAATTACGCACAATAATTTTAGATATTTTTGCTTTTACCACGTAGAATAATTCTATTTTGCAAAATTCTCTTAATATGTATATTTGAATGACTCTACGGACATCAAAAAAAAAAGGTTGAAAATTGTTCTTTTTCTGACAGCTTATAATCATTTTATTTTTTTTTTGAGGTGGATATGTCATAACACCTAACGGATTGTAAGTAGGTATTAGGTAAATTTGAGAAATTTGATTTTAAAGCAGCAAAAAAATGATCTGCCTGGAATTGTAAACAGAAATTATAATTCCTGTATTCAGCAGACTCCCCTGTTGAGCTGCTATGTCAACTGTCCTTTTCCATCTGTATGATTTAGAAAAGAATGAACAGTTAACGGTTCAGTAAATAACTCAAAAGTTCAGTAAAAAAAGAAAACGGATTTATTAACTTTTTTCCCCGAAAAAACGTCTTGGACTGATGTATTACCATTTTTTAACATATATTCTTCCGGCGGACATAAGCATGAAGTGGTGTAAAATAAATTTTCACTCCCTCATGAGACAACGCATTGACATCCGTCTTGCAGCCCGTTATCCCTCCACAGGACGTCTTGTATCAGTATCCAGTAGCTATTCTACATTCAAGCTTTAATCTAAATCAACAATGGAGTGGTGTAAAATGATTTTCCACCCCTCTCACAAATTGACAATTTCCATCTTCTATTGCAACCCTAAAACCCCCATAAAAACGTCTTGCATGTGGTAATTCAATTTTGTTTGTGTACAAACTGACTCAATAAAGAAATGCAAGACGGTGTATAATTATATATTTTCCTAATTTATGACGACATTT